GAGGAGAGAGAGCGTTCCAAGAATGGGGCACAATCAGTGAAAATGCTTGGAGTCAGAGTGACTTGTGTGAGAAAGAGTAAGGCAGCTCAGTGTCACTGGATCCAAGTATAAGTGGGGGTGAGGGGTCTAGCAGTGTAAGGTGTAAGGAGACTGGAAAGGTAGAGAGGCTGTGAAGGGCTTTGAATGCCAAATAGATGCTTTTATATTTGATCTTGAAGGTGTGATAGGGAGCCACTAGAATTTATTGAGTAGGGGATGATGTAGTCAGGTCTTCGCTTTAAGTAGATGATGATGATGGCTGAATGGAGGATGGATTGTAGTGGGGGGAGATTTGTGGCGGGGAAACCCACCAGCAAGCTATGGTGTGACTTCCTCCTTGTCTCCTGACTTCAGTTATCAGCTTTCCTCCTTTTGCCATGCCACACACTCATACAAACACCTCTCAGGCTAAGCTTCCTCCTCACAGTCCCACCTCTCCTTCATACTCAGCAGCCACTGCAGAGTCTTCATTTATTGGGAGGGAGCTTCACGTACAAAGTTGGGAAAATACCCTGGTGCCAGACAGTTTTTGAGTGTCAGAGCTGTTTCTCTCTCCTCTCCTCATTCTCACAGATTTTCCAGACATCCTGATATTCTGAATTGGTCTGGAGTTTCATGGTCTGTTCCATTTCCAATAGGGGTGCCTGCCCTCAAAATATGTCTCTCACTAGCCAGCCACAGTGCCTGAAATTCCACTACGAAAAGTGACCTTCCTATATCACTGTTTTATTTCTCTGGGGATCTGAGACATCTGGAAATGTCCTCAGAAGGAGAAGCAGAACAGAATTTTTGAGATACTACAAGAAATGAACATACCACGATCTTATCTAGGACAAAGAAAAGACAGGGAAACTGCGCTGTCTAAACTGTGCTTTAGGGCCTGAAGCCATGCCAGAGAACAGAGGGAGTCTAATTGAGCCAAATCAACAAGCATTTATCGAGTACTTAATATGTGTAAGGAAGGAAATGGCAAACCAGTCCAGTATCTGTGCCAAGAAAACCCCAAGAAGTGCAAGGCACTATGCTGAGCTCTAGGAATACAAAGACAGATGAAGACAGTCCCTGCCCTCAAGAAGTTTACAATCTAGTTTGGATAGACAAACAAGCAAGTACAACGTACAAGCAAGACATATAAAGGATACATCGGAGATAATCTCAGAGGACAAGCACTAATGGTAAGGGGTGGGGCAAGAAAGGCTTCTTGTAGAAGGTAGGATTTTAGCTGAGACTAGATGGAGGTAGAGATGAAGTGGGAGAACATTCCAAGCGTAGGGGACAGCCAGTGAAAATGCAAGAGGTCAGGAGATGGGGTGTCATCATGTTTGATGTAGGCCAGAATCACTGGATTGTCCTAGAGTAGTACTTCGTGAAAGGGATTAGCTGCTGCTTCTCCTTTTTGACCTCTGCTCTTGAGGTTCAGGCTTTTTGATCGCCGTGAAGGGTCTTTGGTGAGTGGTGGTGGATTGGAGTTATATTTGATAATAGCCCGTAAGTGAACTGAAGTTGACTTTGGATACTTCTAGGCTGTCATATTGAGGATGATAGCAGCTGATGATAACACTGTTACCACTGGGATCTGTGAACTTGTTTAAAAAAATGATAATTGTATTTCGTTGTAGTTGTTTTCCTCTTTAATCCTATGTATTTTATTTTATGCTGTTAGGGAAGGGCAGGCCAGTATCATATTAGTTCAGATTAAAAATTGGGACAAAATGAGACCTTTGAACCATTAATAAAAGGAGGCTTACTTAGCCCTAACCCAGAAAAGGATATTCAACAAATATACAATAACTCTTAGGGTAGATGAAGTTTCCCCTCCCAACCTCCACCTCCCTTGCCTAGATATCAGAGGAGAGTGTGGTTACCAAATGGTCTCCTGATATACGAAGTCTGAAGGGTCCTGATCCCATGTGGGTGAGTCTTTTTATACCCTTGGGTAACCAGGAAGCCACGATCAATACAGCCAGAGGCTAACAGGAGAGTGACAAGCCACATGTAGCTTAAATCTCACTCCATCTCTAAGCAAATCAAGTCTCAGCACTGTTTCTTTTTGTAACCTAACCCATGTTGGGGAGGTTTGGTGTGGACAGGAAAACCTTCATAGATATTGGAACTGTTGCATATATATTTAAAAACATTATTCTGAGAAGAGGCCCATAGGCTTTATCAAATTGCCAAAGGAGTTTGTGACATAATAAATGTTAAGAACCTTTTCCCTAGAGGGATGTAAGGAGCTTCTGTGTTTATATCCACATCACCAAGCATAGAGTCTGTTACACAGTAAGTACTTAATAAATGGTAGTTGATTGGCATACCACAGTTGGCTTTGTCATTCTTCAATTGATGGCAATCCACTTTGTTTCCACTGTTTTGTTACCAAAAAATGCTGTAGTAATGGCGGACTGGCTGGTGATCTCTCTGAAGAACTTTGGAACTGATTACATGGTATGGGAGATGCTGGCAAAGGACTGCCCAGTATAGTGTGCCTACATCAAAGACGACTCTATACTCTATGAGTGAATCAGAATTGCAGTAGCTAAGAAGAAATGTGAGATACAAAAATTTAGAGACATCTCCATTCCAAATGTTCACAGGTACTATTTGTGCCCGGCCTGTGGCAGACCATTCTGAGCTTGTATTGGTCTGATCAGCCATAGCTGGACACACTGTACCTTGACCCCAATATGGTGATATCATTTCGGTCCCCTTCTAGAACAAAGGATAACAATGAACTAGGTGCCAGGTACTGTGCTAAGTGCTGGGGATATAAAGAAAGGTAAAAGACAGGCCTCTGATCAGAGAGGAGAGGAGGCTGAAGGAAGTGGTATCAATTAAGACTTGAGTTAGCAGCATAGTGGTAAGTTTAGATGTGATGAGCTTATCCTGGGAGGGGCATCTTATTCCATGGAGTTGAAACCAGGCACCCTTCAAGGTAGGCGCTATTAAGACCCCCAATTTACAGTTGAGGAAACTGAGGCAGATAGCGGTTAAGTGACTCATCCAGGATCACCCAAAGAGTAGGTGTCTAAGGCCAGATTTGAACTCTGGTCTTCCTGATTCCAGGCCAGTACTCTATCCACTGGACCTCCTAGCTGTTTAGGAACATGGGAAGACATATACAATGATGTAAGATGAACTATGTAGAATGAGGAAAATACCATACACACTGATAAACAATAACAACATAAACAGAAAGAACAATAAAACACAACTGAATGAATCATATTTATAATGACCAAGCCTGGCCCAAGAGAAGAGAAAATGCACTTCCTTCCTTTTGTTGTAGAAGTGGAGGACTGTGGGTGAACCATATTACATATATTGTCAGATGTGGCTCATGTTGGTATTTTTTGCTGTAGTTTTTTTTTCTTTAAAATTTGTTGTTATAGGGGCAGCTAGGTGGCTTCGTGAATAGAGCACCATCCCTGAAGTCAAGAGGAACTGAGTTCAAATTCAGCCTCAGACCAAACACTTGACACTTAATAGCTGTGTGACCCTGGGCAAGTCACTTAACCCTGATTGCCTTAAAAAAATTTTTTTTTATTACAAAGGAAGCCCACTGGATAAGGGAGGGTAGTAAGGATGTATTTGGAAAGAATATGATTTTTAATTTTTTGGCTAGGCAATGGGGTTAAGTGAGTGTTATGTGTCTGAGGCCGAATTTGAACTCAGGGCCTCCTGAATCCAAGGCCAGTGCTCTATCCACTGTGCCACCTAGCTGCCCCCATGAAAATGATTTTTTAAAAAGTATCAATTAACAAAATAAAGAATTTCCCCCAACTGTTAAGAAAGACCTTTTCTGTTTACTAATTAATTTTCTACAATGCTACCCTTTATATATATTTTTTCCTTTTAGGTTTCATATTTTTAAATCTGTTCTGACTGGTCAGTTGAGATAATATTGGATCCCAACTAAGTTGGCCTGTGTGTTAGCTATGTGTCTTAGCTTGTTCTGCAACTTTGACAATCATAGCATTTGTGCCTTTTTCTAAGTCATTAATAACAATGCTTTTTAAAAATTTTTATTTTCTTTCCTGAATTTAAACACTAAAAAGAACATTTTAATACATACAGCAAGACACACAAAAGAAGATTCTGGGCTGGGTCCCCCAAATCATTCCTCCATCCTTGGAGCATAACAAGGTTGTAGCTTCCAATCCTTCACTCCTAATGGAAGAACACAAAACGAGCAAAGAACTAAGGCCCATATCCAGGGGTCACGTGCTAGCCTCAGATGGGACAGGACCTAAAGCCTCTCCCCTGAGAATGTTATTTCTTACTAGATGCTGATAGCAAAGGAGTGAGGCCAAGAACAGAGGTACAAATGAAAGAAAGAGGCAGCAGAAAGGCTGAGTGCCACAGATGCAATTCACAATAGCAGCCAGTCAAAGAGGCTGTTGTCCACCTACATTGTAGTTAGCAGATCAGAACCAGTTATAGAATGTCTATACATGCTCCAAAGTCTTTCCAGGACACTTCCAATAAATATTATCAGGGACTCTCTCAGAAGCAGCCTCCTTCCATTTGGGGAATTTTATGAGCCAATCACGCTTATAAACAAGTTTAGATCTCAATGGAACTACTGACCCGATGCCCCAGTTCTGCCTCATGACCCTAGCTTAATTACAGGTAGCTGTATCTTTGCACGGGATATGCGTTATTGAATACATAAAATGTACAAAAATCACCCTACTTTTCTAGGTCTGGCTCTCCTGGTTTGTAAATGATAGGGCATCTGGAAGAAGAAACCCAGATATGAACTCCTTTATTCCCAGGGCTCCATGTCAACCACAATCATGGGCGAAAGTATCTCAGTTCTGTTTTCATATTTGAGTGGAAGAAAGGATGAAGAATGAAGCATCAAGAAGAGGAAACAAGAGGAAGAAAGGGGAAAGCCCCAGGTATAATGGACTCAGCCCTAGTGTGTACTCCATAGCAAGCAGGCTAGGGCACATTTCCAATCAGAAGTGACACCCTGTTAGCCAGTAGGACAGGTCTCAAACCTGGCAGTGTATCCTCCACTTTATCCTGAGAAAATCAGAGTAGAATGAAGTTAATGGTGATTTTCTTTTCCGTTCCCACTCTCCACCAACAGCAACACTAACATTTTATAAGAAGCCAGTGTATAGTTACCTTCTGAACCTATTTCACTCACTGTCTATTCTTGTCCTTTTTAACCTCCTTGGCTGGTTGCCCCTTTACTCCAGACTGCCTGCTCCAATTTATATTCTCTTCCTCATCATGTCCCCCAAAGAGGGAGCTACCCTTTCTATTCCACTACATTCCATTATGATTCAATTGAAATACTAGATGATAAAAGCCTCTTTGATTCCTACTCCTTCATCCTACCATGGATTGGAAGCAGTTTCCTGCTCTAATAAAGTAATTCTTCTACCTAGGGTAGAAGATTAACTCTCTCCAGAGCAGATGAACTTCTAAGTCACCACCAGGGTCACCTTTGGTCCTTAGTTCCTTCATACTATCCAATGCTATGGCTCTTTCAGGCCATTCCTGCTTTCTTCCTCTCTCAGCTCTCACCTTCTTGGGAGTGGAGATGAGAGAGGCTGAGGTACCTCCTCTTCCTCAGCATCCTTTTCACCAGTTGGCCATTCTTCCAGAACTCAACACGATCTTCTTAACACAAAAAATGCCTGGAAAGATGTAGTTACTCAGCCGTTCTAAAGGAGACAAAAGAAAGATTGCTTGTCTGAGAGGTCAAAGTGCAGCCTTAAATGCTCAGACAGAAACCACCTCTTTCAACTGCAAGTGGAGAAGCTGGGAATGGGCAGGCTGTGTATTCCCAGTGTTTAGGAGCCCTTCCTTACTCTACACCCCCACTTACCCTAGCTGGAGTCATCATTGCGTACTGATATTCCTGAGTTCACAACTCTGGCTGCTGGACCGTACTAGGTGGGTTTGGATTTGGGGTGTTTCTTCTCACATTTCCTCTTTGGTAAAGAGACTAGGGGGTGTCAGAGGGTGGGCTTCCAGGGAGAATAAGCTGAGGATGGGCAAACACATGAAACGTCACTTAAACTCCAGCCTAGGGAAGAATCCCCAGCCAGAGAGGCTGATTGAACAGCCCAGAAACCTTAGAGAAAAAGAGGGGGATGAAGGTGAGGGGCTGAGCACCAAAGCTCTGTGACTAGCTTTGAGCCAAAGCAGAATCCTGTGGGGAAAAACAAGCATTGGAGCACAGAATGAGACCAGGGAGAGACTGCTCAGCTTTTCAGAAACCTCAGCCCTCAATCTTTTCCTGCCTGAGACATCTCTCTAAGGAATTTCTAGAGGTAGGAATCAGAAGGGAGGCAGAATTTTCTCAGACGATCCCAAGGAAGTGTCTGTACCAGAACAGGTCATGTAGCAGTAGTTTTTGGAGTGACTGTGCGCCAATAGTGGCGGTTGATCTGGAAGACAGCCATAGTCTGTGCTGCCATCAGCATTTTCATATTTCTTCACCGTATGGAACTGGCTTTCCATATATGCCAAGCACATCCCTGGATTGAGGAGAAGAGTGTCAGGATCCAGAGAAAGCCCTGATGAGAGATCAAGGAGGAGAAGAAAGGGAGAAATGTGGAAAGAAGAGATGGAGAAAAGGACTTAATATCTAATGATATTAAGAAAGGAGATAGAAAAGGGAAGACATAGCTTTGGAAAGCCACGAGAAAGGAAAAAACAGGGGGAGTCACTTACAGTCACCTAAGCCAATGCTTTCATACCCATACAACTTTTGCTTTATGTATCTCTTGGGCCAGTTCACAACATCTGAAGATTTTGATCTGATTTGCCCCAATGAGACAGCTGATAAAGGAGAGAAATAGAATCTTCTTCATCTTCAGAAGGTGAGGAATGTGGTTTAAGGGGCTTGGTCAGTAGTTCCCAAAGACTCACAAACTTCCTGCTATTGTTAACTCAAAGACTAAACAGCCTAGCAGGAAGAGACCAAAACACCACGATCTAGGTCGGAGAAGCTCCTCCCTCCCATTTGCACATCTCTATGCTTTCTTTACCCAATCATGCTCTGCAAGGATATCTAACTATAGAAGACTCTTAGGCATCAGTTAGAAATTAGAATTGGTGCTGAGGGTGCAGGTGATATGGAATGTGTGGCCTGGAACTTTGACAAGGTACATCCGCTTTAGCCTCAATCTGGCCTGGGGCATCTGGATGTCTCTCCAGGGATCTAGAAATCCAGGTGGTTTCTGGGACAGGGAATGGTCAAGGTCAAATTTTCACCTCCTCAACAGTTTACATCCTCCAACCTCCCAATCAGTGACTTAGAATTGCCATTCCTTTCTTTCTCTTTTTTCAAGAAAGGCCTAGGCAGAAAGTGACCCCTCTCTTCCATGGTATATAGAGGGTTACTCTGATATCTGGGTCAAGAGACACTCAGAGGTTTAGAGGTCTATAGGACAGGTATCTTTGAGAGACACCCAGAGACCCCTTCCTACTAGGTAGTGAGCATTGGACTTGCTGTCAGGAGATACCAAGGTTTGGATCCTGTCTCTGATATTCACTATATATATATGACCATGGGCAACTCACTTAACTCATCTTCAAAATGAGGATGAATAATAGCTCCAAGGAAGGAGTTCTTAACTTTTTTGTATGTCATAGATCACCTTTGACAGTTTGGTGAAGCCTATGGATGCCCTCTCAAAATATTGATTTTTTTCCTCAAATATTTTATTTTTTCCTATTACATGTAAAAAGTTTTAAACATTCATTTTTTAAAAATTTTGAGTTTCAAATTTTATCCCTCCCTTCCTTCCTTCCCCCCTCCTTCATCAAGAAGGCAAGCAATTTGATATAGGTTATCCCTGTGCATTCATGTAAAACATAGAATAATGTTTTTAAATGCACAAAATAAAATACATAGAATTACAAGGAAACCAATTACTGTGTAGTGAAATGTAGTTATTAAAATATTTTAAAAATCCAAATTCATGGATGCCAGATAAAGAGCTGTTTGTTCAATTGTTTCAGTCACACCTGACTTTTCATGACCCTGTTTGGGGTTTTCTTGGCAAAGATACCAAAGTGGTTTGGCATTTCCTTCTCCAGCTCGTTTTATAGACGAGGAAACTGAGGCAAACAGGGGTAAGTGACTTGTTCAGGGTCACAGATCTAGTAAGTAGACTGGGCCCAAAGTCTTTGCCTTGCTTAGAATCACACCCCAACCTCCTTCCAAACAACCACTCTGAATACTGAACACTGACTGGTAGCTGAACGAAGAAAATGGAGACCCAGACAATTTAGGCGTTCACTATCCTGTCATCCTGTAGCAAGCTGCTTTGACCACTTCCTTTTATTTATGAGCAAACCTAGAGCAGAGTTCTCTTCCAAGATTTAGCACTGCTTCAATCTGGGGTGGGGGGAGGGGCAGGTGTCTTTCTCCTTTGTCCTGAGCTCCACTTGTCTTTCCCTCTTTCCAGATAATCCAGCACTGGCAGACTAATGCTGGATTTGGAGTCCAAGGACCTGATTTCAAATCCTGACTCTGCTGCATATTGCCTTTGTGGACTTAGACAAGTCACTTGAACTTTCTTAACTGGACCTTATTATAAAGTGAGGGGTTTGGACTAGATGTTCTCCAAAGTCCCTTTTGGCTTTAGACCTATGGTACTATGTTAGGAAGCAGGCCATTCCCTCCAGGCTTCCCCCACTCCCCTTTGTTGTTCAATCATGTCTCATTCTTTGTGATCTCATTTGGGGTTTTCTTGGCAAAGATAGGACAACCTGATCTTTCTGCCTATGAAGATCACTCCTTAAGGGGTGCTAAGAAGGGTACAACCATAACAGCAACAATTCTACCAGAACGCATCTTTCCATACCATACCCTCTTCCTCCTACACTGATCCCACTTACCTGCCTCTAATCTCTCTCCATCCCATAGGTCCCACTAGATTGTGATGGAAGATACAGTGTTTGGAAGAAGGCATTTCCTCCAAAGATAATCTGGCAGTTGCAGTATGGGCTAGGTCTTAACTCAGAATTTATACCCAGACTCTTTCCAGACCACAGTTCTCTCTATTCCAAGAATAAAAGCATTAAAGTATCCTGGCCTTCTGAACCCCCCCCCCCCAGGAGCACTGTGACATCACTCTCAGAGAAACTTACTTTTAAACTTGGGTAGTTGTTGAGTTTAAATCTAATTCTGAAGTGTTAGTTAGAAAAGTACAGCAAGTGATGGGTGAAAGATGAAATGACTGAGGAAACAAAGATTTGAGCTGCTGAGCTATTGATTTGTGAATCGATCCACGCCAATTGCATAACAAATCATCCCAGGTCTTCCTCGGCTTTGGCACTGGACCCTGAATACAAGGAGAGACAGATTTTTATGCATTAAAAAATAATCAGATAAAACTGATTCATTAAAAGAAAACAATTAACCAGGATAAAAGTCAGGTAATCTGATTTCTAACTGGGAAAGATTAGGGACTTTCCAAGTAGGGAAGGGGAGAGCAAACATGTGCAGTTCCCTGAAATCAGAAAAAGAAGTGTCCCACTCTCCTTAAGCATCTATATACAATCAAAGGAACGTGGAAATAATAACTGATTGACCAGTATAAGGCCAGTTTTCAGATAAGATCTATGGGTTGCTTGAGATGTATAATTGTGAAAAAACTCCTTGCATTAATCTTCGGATCTGCCTGGGTTTCTGGTCTGCATAACCAAGGTCCTTAGTGAAGGGTCTCTAAGCTACTGGAAGAGGTGGTCCAGCTTTCCAGCCAAGTAAGGCTAGGTTCAAACAATGCAATAAAGTCCTCTCACTTTGAATAAAGTTTTTTCACAAGAGAAAATTTAGACTAGACCCATAATTGAACAAAAAGGGAACTGAGCTAGTTCCTGAATTGAGTTAGAAGATGGAGTCATTGTGGTTCATTCAATTCCCACAATTAACCACTTGCTGCTCCAATTCCCTTACAGGTATGTACAGATGAGTGACCGAACACCCATGGATTCAACACAATTTCACAACACAGACTCTTACAGAATAATGCTTACAGGCTGATCATGTTCAGTTTAATTCAGTTTTCTAAAAAGCTAATAAATTTAACACAGATCTGGGGAACTATGACACCCCAACTCTACCCCTGATGCCATAATTCAATTCAACAAACATTTGTCTACTATATGCAAATCCTAGATACTCAAAGAGAAAAATAAAATAATCCTTGCCCTCAAAGAGCTTACTTGTAAATACAAAGATACAGAGTAAATTCCAGGAGGGAGATAACACTTGAAATAGAAAGAATCAAGAAAAGTCCAGTGCAGAAGGTAATACCTGAGATGAATCTTAAAGGAAGTTTAGATTCTAAGAGGTGCATACAGATAAAAAGGTAATGCATTCCAGGCATGAGGTACAACCAGGGAAATGACATAGCCATAAGTTGGAAAATGAGCTCTGAGTCTGTTTTGGAGTAACAGGATTAAGCCTGTGCATGAATTTGTGTGTGTGTGTGTGTGTGTGTGTGTGGATATTTACTGATAACCAACAATGATTGTAAGGAAGATACAATATTACAGCTAAAATAATTAAATATCCTTAATTATTTTCACTAATGTATTTCCAACTACAGTAGAATTAATTGCCAAATTAATTTGGCACACAAAAGAAATGGAGAAAAAGAGGGTTGGGGTGTTGGCTACATGTCTTTCTTTTTTTTATATTAATTTATTTTTAGTTTTCAACAATCATTTCCATACCTTTTTGATACATTGTTGGTGGAGTTGTGAACTGACCCAACCATTTTCAAGAGCGATTTGGAACTATTCCCAAAGGGCTATAAAAATGTGAATACCCTTTGACCCAGCAATAGCACTTCTAGGGCTGTATTACAAAGAGATCATAAAAATGGGAAAAAGACCCACATGTACAAGAATATTTATAGTAGTTCTTTTTGTGGTGGCAAAGAATTGGAAATTGAGGGGATACCTATCAATTTGGGAATGGCTGAACAAAGTTGTGGTATATGAATGTGATGGAACACTATTGTGCTATAAGAAACGAACAAGCAGACTTCAGAAAAAACTGGAAAGACTTGTATGGACTGATGCTGAGTGAAGAACGTTGTGCACAGTAACAGCCACATTGTGTGATGACTAACTTTGATAGACTTAGTCCTTCTCAGCAATGCAAAGATCTCCAAAAGTCTCATGAAGAAAAATGCTATCCACATTCAGAGAAAGAACTATGGAGTTTGAATGCAGATCAAAGCATACTATTTGCTTTTTTCTTCTTTTTTTTTTTTTCCAGGTAGACAATAATTTTTAAATTGTCTCTCCTGGATCTATTTTCCAGGTTAGTTGTTTTACCAATGAGGTGTTTTACATTTTCATCTATTTTTTCATTCTGTTGTTTTTGCTTGACTGAGTCTAGCTCTCATATGCAGTCATTAGCTTCCACTTGCCCAATTCTAATTTTTAATGAATTGTTTTCTTCTATTAGATTTTGTACCTCCTTTTCCATTTGGCCCATTTTACTTTTTTTTTT